CCACCTGGTGGCACACAGCGGCGACGACAGAAAGTAGAAGAACTGGCGGCAGGCGGCGGTGATTTGCGATGACAGCCATCACCTCACGGTGGTGCCGGTGGTTTGTTTATTGATTCACTGCCCAACAATACGTCACACACGCAAGAGACACGACGCGAATCGGCAACCCTCAGCCACCGACTGTGGTGGCGCTACGATGGCGACGTAGATGGTGGCGGAGCAACGGCGAACCAACGGAGAAGAAGAAACGAGGTGAACGATAGTAGCAGCAGTAACAGAAGTGGCGGTAGGAGGCGCTCAATCCTCGTCTTCAGCAGCGACGACTATCGGTGGTGTTGACGGCTTCCATTGGCGGCAACGACGATCACAGCCTCCCTCGTTAATCTCAGCGGCTTTTCCGACTTCACTTACATCTCCAGCAACAACGACGAGGTGGCGCTTATCGGCGGTTGGGTTGTTGTGGCGGAGGGAGGATGGGGGTAGAAGGTGGCAGCGACCGGAGGTGAAGAAGGAGGTGGCAGATGTTAGAAGAGGGAGGCATAAGGGTGGCGATTGGTGTTTGCATTAGGGTTAGGGTTTGATACCCGGTGATGCTGGAGTTATATACCCGGTATACGAAACTTCATACCATAATGACATAAATAGTCCCTCCCTTCAGAAATATTTTCGAAACTAACCCATAATTTACCCTTTCATCCCTCATCATTAAAACCCATTACAATTTAGGTACAATATTTACCATTTACACCCCTACTTCCATAATTCCTCTCAAATTCGATCCCTAATTTACCAAACAACCCCTTAGCCTCTAAAATCTCTTCAAATGAAGTCCCAGAAGTTACCATTTAGTCCCTGCCTTCAATAATACTTACAAATTAAGTCCGGATTTTACAATTTTAACCCCCAATCTCTAAAATTGTGACAATTAGCGCCTCGAGACCAACACCTTGCTATATAATTATTTATATTAGGGCTACTATACATTCATTAATTTATTTATTTATTTACTTAATAAACGGGGTGTTACATTTTTCCATCGGGTTTATAACAATTTATAACGAAATCTTTATTCCAGTTTAGGGTATCCTCGTGTCTTATAAAAATATAACAAAAATTTACATTATTAAAAAAATACATGTTCTAGCCTCCGTTTTAAATTAAAAATATGATGCATCACTTTAATAAAATAAATTGGACGTTATATTAAAAATAATTTGATTTAAGTTTAATGTAATATGTTAAAACATAAAACAAATCATTACATTAAATTGTTAATAATTAAAAGGATTGTTCAGCTTTGAATACTTGCAATTAATAAAAAAAAGATTCGGTTATATATATATATATATATATATATATATATATATATATATATATATATATATATATATATATATATATATCCCCTAATCTAATAAATAAGAGCAATTTTGCCACGTGACATTCAATCAGCCCTTCCCAATCGATTTGTCCCGCTCAAAATACAAAAGTGAATTTCTCCAAATACCCTTCTGCTTCAGCGTTTAAAGTTTGAGTTGATATAGCAACTTATTGGCTATCGGTTCCGAATTTGATAGCAAGAAATCAGGAATTCCATAGCAAGAAATCAGTCATATCCAAAATTAATCATCGATTCTTAGAAGGTAGATTCTCTCTTAAACCCTAATCATCTTCCCTCACCATCAATGGTTCGTTGCAAGAAACGGCGTTGAAACACTACATCCAGGTAATTAGCCTTTGATTTTGGATTTGAACTAAGCTACAATCGATTTGGGTGTTATTTCTTTTTGTAATTGGTTTTGGAGTCGTGATTGAGTTTTTTCGATCGATATTTTGTTTGTGTTCCCAAACGGAGACCCTTTTTTGAGTTTTTTTTCTTACGCAAAATTACCACATATCTGTTTGCGTTCCCAAACGCCGTCGAGGAAATCAGAATATCGATCGAAAAATGCAGTCAGCCGAGCAATTGGTACTCGATCTCAGTAGTCCTGATCTTCACGAAAATACTCTTCTCGAACTCTCCAAAGTATGTTTACTTTGTGCACTTTCGTTGTGATGGATAACGTGATAATTTTATTCGTTTTTTAGGATTTAGTTAGATGAACCAGCGTGAGATTATGTTAGAACGTGAAAGCATAATTGAATTTTTGACTTTTGAGGCGTATGACTGTGAATTTGATCACTTGTGTTTTTCAATTTGGGAATTGTGTACTCGACCGGATGGTAAAGGGCTATTGATGGGGAAAGACACTGACAATTTCATTTTCTCGAGAGAATCTTAGATTATATCAAGATTAGGCATTGTCTGTGTCTATCTTTATTTGGAATGAATATGAAAAAGATGATGTTAATAATCCTTTCACGGTAGAATCAACCAGCTTTACAAATTCGCTTGTTATCTACTGTAATGGTCATTGCAACTCCTTCTAAGACTACTAGTATTGGCGAGAGGGATGAACCTGATTGACCTATTATTTCACCCGGGGCGGATGGGATTGATTCTAAACCCGCTTCGACGTCTTCCCACAGATCTGCCTTATCGAGCCGGTGCCATTCAGGCAATGAAATAGGTTTTTTGTACGAGGAACCAGCACCTGAACGCTTACTCTTACTGCTCTTCTCAGGTTCACCTCTTTTATTAGGATTGGCTGCCTTGAGGTTATTGTTTGGAGTCATTTGTTTATCACAGAGCAAGTCCCCCTCAGTCACTGCCATAGTTAACCCAGTATCGACCATCTCTTCCAGATCCTCCCTTCTTTGTTTGGGCCCAATCACTCCAAAGCACTGAAGGCTCTAGTCCGGGGGTTTCTTCTTCTTCTTCTTGCCATGCAGTTAGGTCTTATGAATATAGACATGATTTAGCTCATCTGTAGTGATTCTTTTGGTACTGTGGCTGCACTCATTCTGTAATGCTTATTTATTTTTTTATGTATTTTTGTTTCTTCTTTAGAAAAGAGAGCTGTTTCAAGATCTGGCTCCGTTACTGTGGAATTCATTTCGTACCATTGCAGCACTATTACATGTATGCTGCTCGCGACTGATAAGAGATTTTAACTTCTACTTCTACTTCATAGTTCATATGTAGTATAGATTTTAATGGATTTTTCTTGTTATGTCTCACAAGTCCTTAATGTTGTCTCTCATAGGTTTGGTCTCCATACCATGTATGTCTGTTCAATATTTCCTTGTAGTGAATATTTCTCTTGCAGGAGTTGAAAGATTAAGTTTAGCTTCAATTATGTAATTAATTATCATTCTCGGGTTTATTTTATTTATTCATAGTTTCTTTAGGTTGTTGGGAAATTCTTTGTTTCTATTAATAACAAAAGCATATATTATAGATTCATGGGTTTTATAGCTAGCCAAAGCTTATAACAGATGGATTCATTTATTTTATGTCTCTTTTGTTTCGAAAATCCATAGAATTGATTATATGTTGTCTGGTGTCATGCTTCAGTTTAAGTGTCTTGGTTGAAAATTTACCCTGATGACAATCTTTTATAGCATTTATGGTTTAGATGATTTCATTAAATGGATTAATGGTAAGACGTTATTGGTTCTTCTCACAGTTTTTACAACCAATGGTTTGTGATTTTTATCCTTCTGAGAGTATTTGTTCTCCGATTATTATTTATTTATTTATTATTATTTTGTGCAGGGATACCGTGAGTCTGCCAGTTCAAAATAAGGTGTCTACAAATAGACAATTTCTGTAACTGCTCATGTTTTCACTATTTTTCAAAATACAAATATTTAAAATTTTTGATGAATAATATGCTTATTTTGGATCAAAATGAGTGAAAGGATCACCAACATTGAAATATCAATTGGCTCTAAGTGCTTTAATTCTTTGAAAGTATCTATTGAATTCAAAAGAAACATGGTATCTTGTAGTAAACAAAACAAGTGACTCCAAATGCTTTTTTTTTACTTTTATTTTCTTTTTTTAAAAGCTATTTTTCATTGAGGGCTTTGTTGTTTGGATTGATTTTTTGTTTGTTTTTGTTTTTGGATTTTTTTTAATAATTATCAAGGTGATGTGATTAAGAAGATGAAAGTGTATGTTTTGATTTTTTCTAAAAAATGTGAAAGTGTATAGTTTTTGATTTTCTTAATTGTGTCTATCTATAGTTAGAATTTTTCATCAGCCATGTTTTTAAAATGTTTTTTTTAAACTTTTGTAATCTTTAAATTCCAGGATCAGTTTGCTCAAATCAACAATATGTCATCTTGAATTAAAAGCTCCTCTGCTTCAACTACAAAACCATGGATTACAAAAGTCCCAGGCTTGGATCTTAGCATGTGGAATTGATTATTTTCGGTATCATATCGATTACAAGTTTGTTTGACTTTAGAAGTTAGAATAAAATGAAGGTTAATGTTAGAGCAACATGAACACTTGCTTTTGAGCTATTGGCAGACCTTGAAACATCGAGATTTCTATCAGGTAGATACTTTTTTTATTAGACAAATATGCAAGAATGGTCCCTGTGGTTAGGTTGAAATTGCTACTTTGGGCCAAACAGGTTTGGACTAGCACTCATGGTCCAAAGGTTTTCATTTTCTTGCCACTTTGGTCCAATTTACTGTAAACTTTTTTGTAATGACGATTTTGCCCTTGGATTTTATTTTTTTCAGTTTTTATTTATTTAAATACTTTTATAATTAAAAGAAAAATAAAAAAATACATCTCTCTCTCTCCCTCCCTCCCTCTCTCTCTCTCTTTCTCTCTCTCTCTCTCCCTTCCCTCTCTCTCTTTCCACTGTGCCTTCTTCCCTATTGTGTCATCTTCTCTACCCAAAAAATGCTTTTCATCCTATTCATCTTCAAAACAATTTATTTTTTTAAATCCAAACGCAAAATCTAGAGCTTGGAGCACTGATTTCGTAAAAGAATCTTAGTAATTACATCTCAAACCCTCCTCAACGAACTTAAATCCCCAAATTAAAACTAGAAATTAAAGTGGAAATAGGGAATGGCCATCGATTTAACCACTAAAGATGGGGCATCGATTTAATGGCGGTGGTGGAGCAAATCAAGCACTTGAGGTTGAACGAGGTGAAGAACAGGCAGAGGAAATCACGTACCCATCATCTCCTTCATGGAGAACCCAAAATTTGGGTTCATTCTTGGATCTACACAATTGGCATCCCCGATCGATGACTTTTACCCATATGAATAATGGTTTTAACCCCATTGCATACAACCACGATGTTGATGGGTTCATTTCTTTTATTTACGTTGATGCAGGGAAGAGGGATCTGTCAAAGGTGTGACCAAGTTTTCCAGTTGGAGATGGAAATAAAGACTGAAAAAGGGATTGTTATCCAAACGCGAGATTGATTCTACTCATCAACGTCATTGCCTTCGAGGGAATAATTAAAACAACATAGACATACCTCGTGTTCTTCAGATTTGGAATATTGAAGAAGAAAGGAGTCGTCAGAGTTTTGAGGTTGGTGATGTATCGGAACCATAAATTTTCTGATAGAGAACGAGATGAGAGAGGGACATGAAGAAGGTGGAGGAGATGAGAGTTAGAGTTTTGGGTGTCAGAAGATGTGCAAAGGTGGCTGAAGAGGGGGTGACGAGGATGAGATGTGTCAGTGAAGGTGAAGTTAGGGTTCTGACACTATGGTTATGACGGCCGACTCTGGTGGTTTGCTTGGTGTTTGTCAAGTAAGGAAAAAAAGGACAATAAATGGTTTTGAGAGATAGGGGGAGGGGGAGGGGGGGAGAGAGAGAGAGAGAGAAAGAGAGAGAGAGGGGGGAAGGGAGGGAGAGAGAGATATGTATTTTTTTATTTTTCTTTTAATTATAAAAGTATTTAAATACATAAAAAACTGAAAAAATAAAATCTAAGGGAAAAATCGTCATTACAAAAAAGTTTAAAGTAAATTTGACCAAAGTGGCAAGAAAATGAAAATCTTTGGATCATTAGTGCCAGTCCAAACCTGTTTGGCCCAAAGTAGCAATTTCGATAACCACAGGGACCATTCTTGCAATTTTGTCTTTTTATTACTACTTTAAATTACTGGTTTTACTTTTTTTATTACTCATTTAAAATCATGATTTTATTACTCTTTTGAAATCATATATTTAAGGGAGACCAATAAGAAGCCGACACTCATTAAGGGAACCAGGGGCAAAAATGTCAAGAGCCCAAATTCAAGATACCCTCAGTTAAAGATTTAACCGGTTGTTTAAAATCAGTCAATTTTTAGGAGTGAAAAACAAAGTTTTTTTGGGACTTTAAAACAGTTTTTTTTAATTGTTTTTGGACTAAAAATAGCATTTTATAGCATCTTACTTTATAGAAAAATAGTTTTTTTTATTGCAACCTACTAGAAAAAGCATTATACTTCATTTCTGACTGTCTTGGACTGTAAAACACAATTCTTTTTTCGTGTTCAAACACCATGAACACTTAGGTGCTGTTTGTTTTTTGGAAAAAAACCTCTTCAGACATCTTATTGTTGCGCGACGCAGCACACGCGCAACACTTTTCATCTCGCAACTGTTTGTTTTTTAGAAGTCTTTGGATTAAAAAACCTCTACGCGTGTTCTTTTTGGCGCAACACTTGTTTTGCGTCTTCCTACCTCTTCCAACCTCTTCGTCTTCTTTTTTTCTTGCTAGAATATTGATTATATATTGCTGAAATCTTATCTAACATTTTTTTTTCGTTTTTTTTTGTTTATTCTTGTTGATTTTTTTTATATTGAATAATAATAATTTGTTGATAAAATATCATTATTTTATGCTAAAATATCTTTATTTTTTTGTTAAAATATAATTATTTTTTGCTGAAATATCATAAATTCTTGCCGAAATGTCATATATTATTAAATTTTCGGTATTAAAAAACTATTTTCAGATTATAAAATCAGTTTATTTTAATTTTTTAATATCTGCAGCAGCATGCAGATGTTAAAAAAACAAACACGCTTCTTATTACAGTCTGCAGCCGTTTGGTTCACCTCTTCTACTGCAGAGGGTTGCAGAGGTGGTCCGCAGACTTTATGATTTTTGCTTCAAAAAAACAAACAACACTTTACTTGCTTTTGAACTATTGGCAGACCTTTAATCATCGAGATTTCTATCAGGTAGATATTTTTTCTATTACTACTTTAAATTACAGGTTTTACTTTTTTTTATTACTCCTTTAAAATCATGATTTTATTAGTCCTTTGAAATCATTTTTTTTACAGATAAATCGGTAGTTGAAGGGTATAAGGAAAGATATGGAGCTGATAAGGATCAAAATTATAAAGTTGCCAAAAATAAGAAGATGTGTCATTGCAACTCCATTTTCGCGCCGCGACCAATCTTCTTACTTCGACCAGAATGCAAAAAATGAGATGATACATGCACGAAAATGCTATATTTGTGACCAAAAAAAGAGAGAATTCTAAAATACTAAAATAAATGACCTCCTTATTGATATCTAATATGTTGTATTGTGCAATAAGAAAAATGACAAATTTTAGAGATCATAAGCACATTCGAAATTGAAGAACATCGTTGAAGAAGTATTTAAAGATTCTCTTAAAAAAAAGTATTTAAAGATAAAAGCGTGGAATCAACATTAAACATTCAATTTTTTTTGTGTAATATGTAAAATGTTGAAATTTTATTTGATTGTTGCCACATGAAGGCCTCTTGGTGTTGCTAAATGTTAATCCAAATAGATGAAGTCACTTATTAAAATGATTGGGTTGTTGTTAGAAAAATTACTAGAAGTACATTGCTATATTGGAATGGTCAACTACTATTTGTTACCATTTTTCTAATTTCAAATACATATTAGAATTGCTGCTGAAAGACAGGAGAAGCAAAGTTTTAATCTCATCATAATGGTTGTGTTTTATTTTGCTGCTACTGTTCACATTACTGTTGACATATGTATTATTATTTTTAAGATTTATTAACTTTCAAAGTTATTTTATGTTGTCCCGTGTAGTACATGAGTTATAACCTAGTATATATATATATATATATATATATATATATATATATATATATATATACTAGGTGTGAAACCAGTGTATTACACGAGTTTTTTTTTTAAATAAAAATTTAATATGAATATATATAAACATTAAAGATTTTATAAAATAGCGCTTTTCCATAACAAAATGTAATCTTTTGGAGCATTTATGAAAGAAATCAAATTGTTTGGAGCATTTATGAGAATATATTATCAAATTAATAGAATGATAACTTTACATATATACAACCCATTAGAATTTTTTGGAAATTTATTTTAAGAAAACTGAAATCCCCAAAAAATGACAAATGGAAAATAACAATTTTAAAAATCCTAGAAAATGACATGTATTAAAATGAAGATGAAGGAGAATATGACAAGTGGCAAAAGTATTTTCATTTATTAAGGGGATATATATATATATATATATATATATATATATATATATATATATATATATATAGGGCTAGGTTCAAATGTGGATTGACATCTATTGTGCGGACGTGTGGACATTGCTATTCTGTAATAATGACAAAGAAAATATGTTGTTTGGTAATGTGAATACGTTTAATCTTACATAACTATTGTAATTATTACGCATTCCTACTAATTAATTCGTCTATAAGGTTATTATAGTTTTTTTATTATTATTCTCATTATGTCAGAATATTTATTGAGTCGTATTCTATAAGAATGAAAATGAGTGAAAAATGATGAGTGAGAACAAAAATGAATAAAAATTAGTGAGAATGCATGAAAATGACAATAGTTGTGTGAGGTTGAAGGTATTCACATTAATAAACAACCTATTTTCTTAGTAATTCTCATAGAATAGCACTGTTCATACGTCCGCACAATAATTGTTCATCCACATTATCACCTAGCCCTATATATATATATATATATATATATATATATATATATATATATATGGTTAGGTTAATGTGTTTATTATATTTATTGTGTGCTAGAATGCACCAATAGAAATTTAGTAAAATTAAATAATTATTTAATTAAATAAAGATATATATTTAATGATTTCCATAATTGTATGTATATTAAATGATATCCATATAATTGTAGTTGTATGGAAACTAATTAAATTCGTCATTAATGTCACCAATAATATTCTTTTAGAATGAATTCGCATCTAAATTTTTTTGTATGGATTCATTTTTTTTTAGGACACACTCACTTAAAATACAATAAAGTTGCATGGAATATGAAGAACAAGAGTGTATTTTACTAGAATACACTCTCATTCTGCTAGAATACAATGTCATTCTTCTATATACGAATTCATCCTAAAAGAATATTATTGCTGACATTAATGACGAATTTAATTAGTTTCCATAAAAAAAGAATTATAATTATGGATATCATTTAATATACATATAATTATGCAAATCATTTAATATTTATCTTTATTTGGTTAAATAATAATTTAACTTTTACAAAATTCTTATTGGTGCATTCTAGCACACAATAGATGCGAGAAACATTTGAATCAACATTTCTCTCTCTCTCTCTCTCTCTCTCTCTATATATATATATATATATATATATATATATAGGTTCAAATGTTTCTCACATCTATTTTATGCTAGAATGCATCAATAAGAATTTAGTAATAATTATATGTATATTAAATGTTATCCATACTTATAACTCATTTTTATGGAAACTAATTAAATTCGTCATTAATGTCAACAATAATATTTTTTCAAAATGAATTGGTATGTAGAAGAATGAGAATGTATTCCAGCAGAATGAAAGTGTATTCCAGCAGAATGAGAGTATATTCTAGTAGAATACACTCTCGTTCTTCATATTCCATGCAACTTTATTGTATTTTAAGTGAGTGAGTTCTGAAACAAAAAACGAACTCATATATAAAACCTAGATGCGAATTCATTCTGAAAGAATGTTATTGGTTACATTAATGACTGATTTAATTAGTTTTCATAAAAAGAGAATTATAATTATGAATATCATTTAATATATACAATTATGAAAATCATTTAATATTTATATTTATTTAATTAAATAATTATTTAATTTTACTAAATTCCTATTGGTCCATTCTAGCACTGTAAGAAACATAATAATCTAGCCATATATATATATATATATATATATATATATATATATATATATATATATATATATATATATATAGAATAACATGATAACGCCCGTTAACCAACCCAAAATATTCGGGTTTCACCGTTGGTTCGGGTTTTTTTTTTTTTGCCATCCACCCAAAATTTTCGGGTTTCAGGTTTCTC